AGTTCGCATGTTTCTGGTTTTAAGGGAGGGAAACATCCCCCCCAGGACACTCATTCCCTAAAATCTGCTACCTACCCATCACGGTTTTCTCAAAATGTGACCCCCCCACCTGCCTCCCCAACCCCGCCACCGTAGTTTTTTTTTTTTTTTTAACAAGGATGAGTGAACTATGAAACAGAACACTGTACATGCGTCTCCTCTACAAAAAATATTTGCATAAAATAGTGTTTAATTTCTCTGTACATGTCGATGGACACCCTAGTTTGTGTATAAAAGAAGGAGGGGAGGGGGGGGGGGGAGAAGAGGACGCACACACTCCCTCCCCACAGGGGATCAGAGGAAAGAAAAAAAAAAGGGGGGGGGGAAGAAGAGGACGCACACACTCCCTCCCCACAGGGGATCAGAGGAAAGAAAAAAAAAGGGGGGGGGGAAAAGAGGGGAAAACCCAGAGTCTAGAATATGGAAACCTCAGTCACTGGCAAAATATGTTCATGTGAAAATTCAGCAGAATAAGAACAAATTGCTTGGAACACTTTTTCTTTTTTAAAAATCCGATTTTTTTTTCCTTTTCTTTTTTTTTTTTAAGTTAAACATCTCTCTGACTTGCCCAGCTACCGCTAGAGGACTTTTAGGTCAAGAAAAAAACATGTCACTAAAGTTAGTGTCTGTGCTATAAAGCCAAATCAACAGCGGCAAGGACAGCAGCACGAACGGCCAGGAGATCCCTTCGGTGCATGCAGACAAAGGACGTGGTTTGGTGGCGGCTGGCACAATATCTTTACCCGGCTCTAGGTAAGTGCGGGCCACAAACTTAAGAGTCTCGTCCATCAGGATCACCGGCAGGGAGAGCTTGAGCACCATCAGCCACTGGGTCAGGTTCAGAGGGGTGATCTGGAAGATCAGCTGGGGAAGAGAGAAGGCGGAGGGGGGGTCAGGCGGGAGCTCGCGCGAAGGGCCTTGGGGGGGGGTGTCTTTAGAGCGGGTGGACTTCCCGCTCCCAGAATTCGTTACGGTCAACGTTTCTCAACCTCGGCACCTTTAAAACGCGGGAACGTCAATTCCCAGAATTCACTAGGTCAACTTTTTCTCAATCCCGGCAACGTTGGGACGTTGGGGGGGGGGGCTTCAACTCCCCTCCCGTGATGTTTGGGAAATCCTTGTAAGCCCACCAGGGGTGAAATCCATTTACTTTTCCTACCGGTTCGTTAGCAACGTGAGGGGGCGCCAGTGGTGGGTTCCTGATCCCGTTGCGACCGGTAACGCTGCAACGGGGCCCCGCGTCCACCACGTGCATGCGTACTACCACCCGCAGTGCTCCAGCTGCTCGGCGGAGTGTTGCACAGGTGCCGTACGCCCCATGCACGAAAGCCCCAATCGGCTCAAATGCAGATAAGGAGGGCAGACGGGCGGGCCCTCCAGAGCACCGTACCGGAATGGTATCTGGTGCTCCCAGCAGGCACCGGTACGCCCGTACTGGGGCGTACCGGTTATTTCCCACCACTGCAAAGGTAAAAGAAAGCGAGGGGGAGGAACCCGCTGTGGCATGCGATTTAGAAATCTTGCTTTCTAGCGATATAAATCATGCGTCACAGCTGCTTGTCGGGAAAACTGGTTCGCCCAAACCAGCAGCATTTTTTTTAACTGCCGGTTCGGACAAACGGGGGGCGTTTTTCCTACTGGTTCGAGTGAACTGCTCTGAGCCGGTAGCATTTCACCCCTGAACTCCACCCATTTTAAGAGATGCCGGGTTTGAGAAGCACACCTTAGCCAGATGTTTGGGGAGACCTTGGCGAACCAGGCGAAGGCAGGGTGGGCTTCTGCCTTTCCTTCACCCTAGAATGGGGTGAAGGCCTTAAGACTTTGGAGCAGTAAACCATAGCTCGCTTGTGGAGTGACACATGACCGGGTGATGTGCTCGGAAGGGCACACGAGTTGCTTTCGCTTCTGCAAAGAGCAACTGGGAAAGAAGTCTAAGGTTTAGCAAGTGGGCTTCTGATGCTCCCGATCCCGCCCCCCACCCCACCCCCTCCAATGTGTGTGTTGCAGAGACTTACTGGCAATGGTTCTACATAAAGGATGAGGAAGTGGAGAGACATGGACAAGCAAATGGAGCCCAGGAGCCAGACGTTCTCCCACGGAGGCATCCGTAGCAAGGACTGGTTCTCCGAGAGGCTGCGGGGGGGAAAAAAGAGAAAAGGTTGGGTACAGGGCTTCCAGCTCAATCCCTCTGGAGGGCCTATGAAGGGGAAGGCTGCTTTAATGGAAAATGGAATGGTGAAGAAGAGGAGGAGGAGGGCAGGAGGAGAAAGAGGATAGAAGGAAGAGGATAGCAATAGCACTTAAGACTTATCTACCGCTTCGCAGTGCTTTTACAGCGCTCTCTAAGCGGTTTTACAGAGCCAGCCTCTTTCCCCCAGCAATCTGGGTCCTCATTTCACCCACCTCGGAAGGATGGAAGGATGAGTCAACCTTGAGCCGGTCAGGATTGAACTGCTGGCAGTTGGCAGAATTAGCCTGCAGTACTGCACTCTAATCACTGTCCCATCGTGGCTCATATGGAGCCATGGATGGAAAGGAGAAGGAAAATGAGGCAGAGGAGGAGGAGGAGGAGGAGGAGGAGGAAAGGAAAAAAAGAGGGAAGAGGAGGAAGAAAGGGAAGAGGAGGGCAGGAGGAGAATGACGGTGGAAGGAAGAGGAGGAGGAGGGAAGGGAAAGGAGAAGGAAAAGGAGGAAGAAGAGAAGATCTCTTCCTCATTTCAGGCATCCTAACCTGTTGAGGGCGTTGCACATCTCGATGGTGACCAAGACGGAGAGCGCCATGGTCATAGGATAGGGAGACTCAAACACCACACAGTCGACCCCTTCAAAGTCTGGATTGTCCTCTTTGCACTGCAGGAAATGACTCTGAAACACAGCAGAAGGCAACCTTAATCACAACAACAACAACAACAACANAAAATCCGATTTTTTTTTCCTTTTCTTTTTTTTTTTTAAGTTAAACATCTCTCTGACTTGCCCAGCTACCGCTAGAGGACTTTTAGGTCAAGAAAAAAACATGTCACTAAAGTTAGTGTCTGTGCTATAAAGCCAAATCAACAGCGGCAAGGACAGCAGCACGAACGGCCAGGAGATCCCTTCGGTGCATGCAGACAAAGGACGTGGTTTGGTGGCGGCTGGCACAATATCTTTACCCGGCTCTAGGTAAGTGCGGGCCACAAACTTAAGAGTCTCGTCCATCAGGATCACCGGCAGGGAGAGCTTGAGCACCATCAGCCACTGGGTCAGGTTCAGAGGGGTGATCTGGAAGATCAGCTGGGGAAGAGAGAAGGCGGAGGGGGGGTCAGGCGGGAGCTCGCGCGAAGGGCCTTGGGGGGGGGTGTCTTTAGAGCGGGTGGACTTCCCGCTCCCAGAATTCGTTACGGTCAACGTTTCTCAACCTCGGCACCTTTAAAACGCGGGAACGTCAATTCCCAGAATTCACTAGGTCAACTTTTTCTCAATCCCGGCAACGTTGGGACGTTGGGGGGGGGGGCTTCAACTCCCCTCCCGTGATGTTTGGGAAATCCTTGTAAGCCCACCAGGGGTGAAATCCATTTACTTTTCCTACCGGTTCGTTAGCAACGTGAGGGGGCGCCAGTGGTGGGTTCCTGATCCCGTTGCGACCGGTAACGCTGCAACGGGGCCCCGCGTCCACCACGTGCATGCGTACTACCACCCGCAGTGCTCCAGCTGCTCGGCGGAGTGTTGCACAGGTGCCGTACGCCCCATGCACGAAAGCCCCAATCGGCTCAAATGCAGATAAGGAGGGCAGACGGGCGGGCCCTCCAGAGCACCGTACCGGAATGGTATCTGGTGCTCCCAGCAGGCACCGGTACGCCCGTACTGGGGCGTACCGGTTATTTCCCACCACTGCAAAGGTAAAAGAAAGCGAGGGGGAGGAACCCGCTGTGGCATGCGATTTAGAAATCTTGCTTTCTAGCGATATAAATCATGCGTCACAGCTGCTTGTCGGGAAAACTGGTTCGCCCAAACCAGCAGCATTTTTTTTAACTGCCGGTTCGGACAAACGGGGGGCGTTTTTCCTACTGGTTCGAGTGAACTGCTCTGAGCCGGTAGCATTTCACCCCTGAACTCCACCCATTTTAAGAGATGCCGGGTTTGAGAAGCACACCTTAGCCAGATGTTTGGGGAGACCTTGGCGAACCAGGCGAAGGCAGGGTGGGCTTCTGCCTTTCCTTCACCCTAGAATGGGGTGAAGGCCTTAAGACTTTGGAGCAGTAAACCATAGCTCGCTTGTGGAGTGACACATGACCGGGTGATGTGCTCGGAAGGGCACACGAGTTGCTTTCGCTTCTGCAAAGAGCAACTGGGAAAGAAGTCTAAGGTTTAGCAAGTGGGCTTCTGATGCTCCCGATCCCGCCCCCCACCCCACCCCCTCCAATGTGTGTGTTGCAGAGACTTACTGGCAATGGTTCTACATAAAGGATGAGGAAGTGGAGAGACATGGACAAGCAAATGGAGCCCAGGAGCCAGACGTTCTCCCACGGAGGCATCCGTAGCAAGGACTGGTTCTCCGAGAGGCTGCGGGGGGGAAAAAAGAGAAAAGGTTGGGTACAGGGCTTCCAGCTCAATCCCTCTGGAGGGCCTATGAAGGGGAAGGCTGCTTTAATGGAAAATGGAATGGTGAAGAAGAGGAGGAGGAGGGCAGGAGGAGAAAGAGGATAGAAGGAAGAGGATAGCAATAGCACTTAAGACTTATCTACCGCTTCGCAGTGCTTTTACAGCGCTCTCTAAGCGGTTTTACAGAGCCAGCCTCTTTCCCCCAGCAATCTGGGTCCTCATTTCACCCACCTCGGAAGGATGGAAGGATGAGTCAACCTTGAGCCGGTCAGGATTGAACTGCTGGCAGTTGGCAGAATTAGCCTGCAGTACTGCACTCTAATCACTGTCCCATCGTGGCTCATATGGAGCCATGGATGGAAAGGAGAAGGAAAATGAGGCAGAGGAGGAGGAGGAGGAGGAGGAGGAGGAAAGGAAAAAAAGAGGGAAGAGGAGGAAGAAAGGGAAGAGGAGGGCAGGAGGAGAATGACGGTGGAAGGAAGAGGAGGAGGAGGGAAGGGAAAGGAGAAGGAAAAGGAGGAAGAAGAGAAGATCTCTTCCTCATTTCAGGCATCCTAACCTGTTGAGGGCGTTGCACATCTCGATGGTGACCAAGACGGAGAGCGCCATGGTCATAGGATAGGGAGACTCAAACACCACACAGTCGACCCCTTCAAAGTCTGGATTGTCCTCTTTGCACTGCAGGAAATGACTCTGAAACACAGCAGAAGGCAACCTTAATCACAACAACAACAACAACAACAACAAAACCCTGGGGCCAATTAGCTCTCTTTCTCTACCCCAAATTCATCAAAGCACCCTCCATGGTACAATACCGCTAAGAACAATGCTTTGTTTTAATAAAACAAAGGTTTCTAATCAGCCTATTATTGTTAAGCAGGGACTCCTTGGATGAGTGATGAAGAAGAGGATTTTCCACAACACTTGCGGATAGGTTTTAACAAGATTTTAAGCCTTCCGATGACACGCCATGTAGGCAGGCTGCAAAAAACCCCGAAAATCCCAAACCCCGCTAAGCTTCGTTTGGAAGACAAGTTGCCAAGAACCGAAATATCAAGAAGGAAATACCAGCTGGTAGTAGGTAATTCTCGGGCCCCCGTCCGCAGCTATGAACCACCAAGCGGCAGCGCCCACTGTGGCAGCTCCGACGTAACCTTGAGGAGGAGAAGAAGAAGAAGCAGGGTAAGTCTTGCGCCACTGAATTAATAAGACATCCCACCAATGGGCCACGGCTACTGGGGTCTCCCACTGCCATCGTTCAGCAGGCTTAGCTCTCATTGGTCAGTGTTGTGACCCGCCAGCAGCAGCCATCAGAGCTGGCAGCCAATTCGGAGAGTGAGGAGGTTGGGGAGGAACCTGGGCCAGTCCTGGAGTCTGGGGAAGGCTCTGAGGAGGGTTCTGCGTTGGGGGCAGAGAGGGGGCCAGGGTTGTATGCCAGTTATCAGCTGCCTTCAGAGTCGGATATCAGTGAGGCAGAAGAGCAGCTGGAGCATGTTCCCAGTGTGCGCATGTGCAGAGTTGCCAGACGAAGGGAACAGCTAAAGAACAGGGGTCGACTTGGGAGTAAGGCCACAGGTGGATGATGAATGGCCCCTCCCAGAGGACATAAAAGAGGAGCGAAAAGGGAGTGGAGTTTACAGGAGACAATTAGTTTGATAATTGGTTTGTGACTTTCCAAGACTCCTGGCCAAGTTCTGCAGATCTCGGCCTGGCAGCTCTCCAAGCCAGATAAGGTCTGTGACTGCAAATCCTCCCTGGAAAAAGTTTGCCGGAGGTGAACTGAGCAGA